GCTTTAAGGAGACTTGTGAGTTAACTAATATCAATTAATTACTCCCATTTTGCAGATAAGCAAACAAAAGAATAAAAAAAGCGAAACATTCTGGTCTAAATTAATGGAAGGGAAAGCAGAGCCCAAACCCACTCCTTGACCTGGGTCCAGAATAATCAAAGGCACTGGGGAGAGGACCTTGGCATCCCCAAGCCCCTGCCTCGTGCCCAAGAAGCAACACCAGCCCTGCCCTGCACCACCAGCCCTTCAGCTCACTGAGGATGCACAGACACCCTCGAGATCTTTATTTTCCTTGTGCCCTCATGCTAAAGCTGTGGGGATTAGAAATGCTACAGTACAAGCCAGCTTTTTATTACTCAGGAGACAGTTTTAGCCCAGCTGCCCAAATGCAGTTACCTCAGAGGCATCAGCACCACTCCACCATGCTCACAAGGGAGATGAGATCCAAACCAGGCTGTACCTAAGATTAGGCGACCATGACCAGCAAGAACACAGGCACTGACACATTCCTTCTGTCCATAAACAAAAGCATTCAGCTCCGGATTCTTCTGACCTCTAATTAGAGTGCATTCAGTCAAACAACCCTGCCAGAATTAACAGGGAAAAAGGAGGGGGAAAAGAATAAAAAAAGACTTTGTCGAGCAAAAGTACTCTTAGACATATTTGATGTAATAGTCATATGATTAACAAACTGTCATATCAAAGTTTTCTGCGAAGTAGGAACACTCTGACAGTTCATATTTTAAAAACTGACATTTTGATTCATTACTGTAAATAGCACTCTGTATTAAATATTGTGACAAGGCATACAGTGTATTTTTTTGAGCTCTATAACATTTAGGAAGTACTGAATTTTTTTAGCCTTTTTTTTTTAAGCACATATAATATCAAAAGCAGTTAAAGCAGAACTCCAAGAAAGCTTCTAGAGGAGAGAGTCATGATTTCTGAAATAACCTACTTCTCTGCCTTCATCTCAAGCACTGTTGGGAGCTCAGATCCACAAGGATCTTAATGTACTGTTTGCATAATCAAATAAGGAATTGTTTCACAGAACAAAAGAGCTATAAGGAAAGTGGCTACATTAAATAATGTAAAATTACTCACTAGCAAGTCATCCTGAAGCTGGCAAAGAGGGAGAGCACTAAAAGGTGCTGAATTACCACTCAGAATATCTGAGTGCCAGTTCATAACCAAGATGAACTAAGCAATATCCCAATGGCCGCCCAGATGTGCATCTTGCTTATCCCCCCAGTCTTCTCCCATGTGTTTGGCCCCCTTCTGCAGCCCAGCCATGCCCATCCCAGAGAGAAGCAGCACTCCCTCACTGCTGGGGTGGGCAGGAAGGGCTGCCCCATCAGAGCCACCAATCCAAGACATCATGGACAGGGATCCACAGCAGGGCAGCTCCCACTGCAGGGATGCTCTGAGCCACCAGCGTCCACCAGCCTAGACAATTTAATCCCCTTACAGCTCCCTACTTACAGATCCCTTTCTCTGGATCACCAATACCAGGACAAACAGAACTGGGACCAGAAACAATCCTGCCAATGTTCTGCATTTCCTGAAAAGCAGACCACTCAATGGAGAAATCAAAAATAACAGCCCAAGCTACCACAAAGATCTTGCTAGAGCAGCAGAGGAAAACCAGAGGCTGCCTAGCTGTTTGCAAGAAGCTCAGGTGTTACGAGGACTGCAGTCCAGTGCTTTGAAAAGAAAAATGGTTACCATTATCATTGCTTGCAGCCAGCTGCAAGTGGATCTCTGGGCTCTGTCTCCTGACAGAATGGATACACTGCCATAAACGTGAGCCCAGAGCCTACCCTAGGACACGATGAGGCTGCCATGTGCCCCGAAAATGGATCACAGCACTGTTTCAGCAGGGGCTTGATCCAGCCCAGCCTGCCTTTCCCTGGGAGCAGCTACACACCCCTCACACGCTGGAAATCTCGTGCATGTGTCTGCATGCCAGCAAGTGTGGCAGTAGTAGTGGTCTAGCCAGACATCCAAAACATATTGGCACCGCTATAATTTGTCCATTCACCAATATGTTTTCCTAAAAACGCCCATATGCTTTTCTTGCAGTTCCCATATGCTTTTGCAAAAAGAAACAAAAACATTTTGTTAGTCGTGAGCGATTGATCGCCACATATTTCACAGAAGTCAAGTACAAAAACAAAAACAACAACAAAAAAAAGCAGTCAGCTGCTTCCCCCTCCTCCTCCTCCTCTCTATTCATGGAGGGAACTGTGAAGAGCAGGAAAAAATTCAGCCCACAGCAAAATACACACACCGCTCTTTTTTTTTTTGCACTGAAAGATATTCTAGGAATTACAGGAGGAATCTTCATTAAAAACAAGCTATCAGGGATCTGGCAGGCAGTGGCATTCCAGACAGTAATTGAGCATCGGGTGCTGGCCTCAGTGCTCGGCGCTCGCTCGGGTCCTCACCGCAGGCAGCGAGTCCACCGGAATCCGCGCTTCCAGACGCACTTTAAACAAGCCAGGGGTGGGAGGACAGGGTGGTAAAGAGGTTACAGCCCTTCCAACTCACAGGACAGCTCATGTGAGGATTAGTCTATCTCTCTGTGGGTATAAAGCCCCTCTCACATGCAGGGCTTCCCAGGGAGATGCTGCCTTGCACACAAATCCCAAAGCAGCGGGCAGGCTCGGTTCAGCTGGGAGCAGGCACATGGGTGTACAAGTATGTGTGTGTCAAGGCTGGAGCATGTGGGAACCATAGCTGTGTACTTAAAGACTCATTAAGCAACAGCAGACCCAGGGCCAACATTCAAAGAGGAGCAACGCAAAACATTTCTCTGGAGGAAGATTAGCATGTGTTCTTCTTTACACAAATAAAATTAAAGAGACACTCATAATATAGACAAATCAATCTACTTCTGAAAAGCCAAGGGCACTGTATGCAAGAGCAGACAAGAGGGGAAAAGCTTTGTTACAGGGCCACCAAAGCAGTGCACAGGCTTTCTTCCCCGGAAAAGAAATTCAGCTATTGCTGCATGAAGTTCTGATGTCAGTCCCAGCTGCATCACGCTCATTGTTACAGGGACACAGCTGCTTCCTTCCCAACACGGCCATACACATACCTATGTATCACTATAACCTCATGCACCAAGGGCTGGGGGTCGTCTTTGCAGAGACTGTGGAAAATACCTGAGGGCAGAGGTCAAAAGCCTACAGGAGTGCTTAAACCAACAGTTCCAGCCTAAAAAGAAAGAGTTTGAAGCTGACTTTCTATATAGGATACCATGAACAGCACACACTCTTCTATCACAATAAAACTTTCTGTGATGCAGTCCCATGTTATAAAGTTCTCCCACAAATTTAACCAGGAATGCTGTTTGCAAAAGCTAGTGTTTTCTTGCAATGCTCTAATCTCACACTAAACCTAATGAGAGACCAGATGCAACAGGTCAAGAGCCCAATTTTTCACAGAAATGAAGCTGAAAACCCAGTCAAGGGAAGAGAAATCAATCTCTTGCACAGGACACAGAGTGAAAAAGCAATTTGTCAGACACAGCTTGCTTCACAAAATACATTTTATGATATGTTTTTGTCTTGAGAGGAGTTGTAAGCACTTGAAAATCTGACTTCACCACTCACAAGTGTGTTGATGTTGTTGCTCAAGTGCTGACTAGAAAACAAAGAAAGCAAAACTAATATTGTCTCATTTAGTTAACATAAGGACACCTTTAGTTAATTTAACAATGAGCTTCTTCCTAGATTTCATATTTATACCAACCCACTGGGATGGTTTATTAAACCTAGTCAGGAAAGCTACCACAGAAAGAGCAAGACTAACAGAAGAGCAACCATTAATCTTCCATAGCCCAGTAACTGGGAAGATCAGGCCTTGAACCAGATTCTATGCTCTTGCTATTAATCTCCTGTCCTCTACTTATTAATCCCTGGTCTGTCTTTGTCTGTCAACATTTATTAATGGCCCCAACCATTTGCAGTTAACAGGATACTGAAATCTCATCTCCACCTAGACATAATTTACCCACAAAAAAAACCCCAAAAAACCACAAAAATCGGACTCAAGAAGAAAGTAGGGATGTACATTGTGCATCAAAAGAGAAGAATGAGAGCACAATTAAATTCAGTGACACAACAGAGTGAAGATTCACTGCTCCTGATTTTGGCCCGACTCATGGTCTAAAGTCAGATAACATCACGGCAAACAAAGAAGCTCCACTGGTAAAACCACCAGGGTAGTTGGTCACTCATATTCTCCTCTTCTCAGCAGGGCTGCACAAGCTGCTTTTTATCCCCCACTGCCATAGCTTTGCAGCACCTCCAGCACCTCTCTGTGTCCTGGGGTAGCAAAACAGAGAGGCTTGAGGATTGACCCATTGCCCTGATGCTGGTCCTGCTCTGAAATCAAACCATTGTATCATGGGAAGGGCACAAGGGAGTTTATGTCCTACACATAATCTAGCAAAGGACTCCCATAATACTTTCAGGTGGCTCACACAGTGAACCTTTAAGTCACAGCTAAATATCTCCAGTGAATTTGACAGAATTGGTGGTTCCGATTAATGAATTAATTTGCTCCTCACGTTAGTTTCTATTTGTCCACTGAAACACGGTTAGATTCAGCTAACAATACAGCTCTCCATCACCAGCTGGGAACATCTACAGCCTGCAGAGAGCCATGTCATGGATGGGGCATGAGTTCAGGTCCACAAGCAGGAAAGCTTTGTTCAAAAAAGAGGTCAAAGCAACACTACCCACAGGACCAACCAATTGTTCCCATGCAACACTCCCAATCTGCAGGAGGGGCCTGTATGTTTGCTAATTCCAAATTTGAAACCAGAAACATTAAAACCACCTCAAGCCTCCTGGGCAGGCTGGCATCCCACCACCCCAGTCTTTGGAGAAATGCCCATCAGCTGCTGAAGGACCGAACATGGTACTGAGATCTTCCCACTGTCCCTAAACTCAGCAGCTGTCAAAAGCCCTGGGAGCTGATCCATTTCTCACCTGGAAGCAAGGCAGCCCTCTCAGGCACCCACAGTCAGACGTACAGACAGGCTCTTCCAAGGGACCTCTGTGGGTGCAAACAGAAAGGTCAGAATCAATGTTTTGCTCACCGTAAAAGCAGAAAGTAAATCAAGCTGGCTGGAATACCTCACCAAGAAAACAGCCCCAAAAGGGCATCTAAGGCCAGCTGCCCTCCTGTACAGAGCAGACCATAGCCTTTTTTCCTCCCCTCTGACACAAGTCATGTGTCAGCCTGTCCCTGTTTTGACCCATATAGGGGTTTTTCACTCGTTGGCAGCACACATTATATCTTAGCAAGTGTGGAGGTAGCTGAGGTTTATTTGGAAGAGAAGCTACTTGTTTTAAATCACTGCAGAGCTGGTGAAAGGCACTGACGTAAGGGCTGCAGGTAACAAAGTCTCTTTCAAAGCCTGACCAGACGCCCTTCTGCCCCTCATGCTTAAAGGGCCTCTTCTTCCCCAGCCCCAGCCACCGCTCAAGGCCAGCATGAGTCACTGCCACAGCCCTGGCTCTGCCCTGCGAGCATCAAGGGGCACCACAGCAGAGAGGGGATGCATTAAACACACCGCCCTTGTGCAAAAAGAGTCACGGTGGGACAGCCCAAACCCTACCTCCACCTTCAGCCCTGCTTTCCTTTCTAGGTGCCTCCAAAGACACCCAATTAAAGAGAAAACATAGTTTTTTCAAGTTACCACAAGATTTTTTTCAACCAGCAGTCTTCAATACTTCCAGTTTATTGATATCTGAGCTTACTCTGATGTTTTCTATTTCTTTTAATCTCAGTCTTGGAGAAGAAACAAGTTTGAAAAGTACTAGTGATGATTAGCAAAAGGTTCACCTTGGCATACCCCTGGTCTCCCAGCCCACCATGCTCCTGGTGTCACCAGGTGATCTCCTCCTAACTGCATCCTCACCCCTATTTTCCTGAGATCAGCCAAGGATCAAAAGTCATTAAAGAGAAGGTGAGACACTTCTAGCCAGTTGCATATATTTTTTTAATGAAGCCAGGCTAAAACTCATTAGCCCCACCATCAGCTGTCTTGCTCTGGAGAGTCAGGTCTGGCAGGGCAGCAGCTTTGCCCTCCTGGTGTGTGGTGAAGGAAGGGCAGCAGAATTTCAGCAGTTGCTTCAGATCCACACCGAAGTGCAAAAAGCAGAGAAAAATTTGCTGAGAACCTGCCCACACAGACACTGGATATTCTTTTCATATTTGCCATGACAAAAAATTCACGTTAACATTTTTGCAAGCACTGTAAGCCTGTATCAAGTATCAGCAAAGAGGCAGACAGGTGTCCTGACCACAGAGGAGACAGCATATGCAAACAGTTTGGAATTTATTACTATTATTTTTTAAAGGGAGAAGCAAATCCCAGAGATTCTTCTGTGCATGATACATTTTCTGCTCCCTGTTTGATGTTGCTTTCAGACTTCAGACTTCAAATAGCTAACACTAACCTATGTCTCAAGCCTGCTTTAAACTGATGCCCCTTATGTGACCAGAAATGAATGCATGGTGAATCACTTATGCCACACACAGTGGGGTGATGAGCAGCGGTCCACGTCTCCTGACCGCTGCATGGACACAGGCAAGCTGGGGGAAAGGAGATCCCAGCTCCCAGTACATCAGAGCCAGATAACTCAGCACAGATCCTTTGCATTTTTGGAGCTGAGGGCACAAGCTCCAGGTCAACAGCCCAACCACAAGTCAGAGAGAACCACCCAAGCACTGGCATTTTCTGCAAAATGTGGAGAGAGAGATGCATAATCTGCACAGGCTGCACTTCCACTCTCTGTTGCCTGCCTTTAGGAGATGCTTAAGAGAAGCTGCATTTTAATTAGTAGCCCCAACCAAAGGAATCTGATCTTGACAGTAAGTGAAAGGGAGCAACTCAAAGTTACAGACTTCAGGCTGTGTAGGTCCCAGCTCTTCGCTTCTCTGCGGACATTACTGCTTCCAGAAATTAAATAAAAAAACTCCACTTAACTCCACAGAGGTTGCAATTTGCATCCAAAGTAATGCCTAAGCCTCAGCTGTAATAAACAAATACAGCCCCACTGAAATCCAAGGAGTTATTCTGAGTTTGTCTGGTTACAGATCTGCAGACCCATAAACATTACAGCTCATCCAACCTACAGCTAAGTATCTTCTAATAGAAGACCATTATCCTTGTCAGATGGATTGGGATAACTTGTTTAAAGCACTCTTCAATAGTCATTAGGATTGTTAGGTTTTGGTGGTTATACTTTAAGAATAAATCCCAGCAGCTATTAAACACTGGAACAAAGTATGTTAACAATCCACAAACAGAGCTAGAGTGGAAATATAACTATGGTTTGGGATTTTCATTGGGAAATTGGTGAAATGGAGAGAAGAAAATACAAACACTAAACTGAGCTGTGCATATACACTGAGAAATCAACCACATTATTTGACAGGTAATGAATGAAAAAGAAACACACGGAAGAAGGAAGCAAAATCATGTAATTCAGTCCTCCTTTTGAGCCTTATTAATATTCTGGGTATAGTGCATAGACAAAATGTTGTGCAGCCTAGGAAATACAGATACATTTTGCTGGCTGTCACTGCTCCCAATATCTGACCTCAGGGTGGACTCCATTCCCTGGAGCCTTCCTCACCTCCTGGTAATAAACCATCCCTGTGCTGGCTGTGCTCCCCAGGAGCAGAGCAGCACTCCTGACCAGTTTTACAGATCCCTGCCCAGGGATGAACAACACTATACCCATGTCATGGACATAACCATTGTCTTCTTTAAACCATCTCACCAAATGGCTCCAGCAAACAGCCACTCCATCTGCTCTAACTCATCTCTTGTTCAGACTGCTGCTTTGTCACAGCCTTGCTGATAAAGGAGAATTCTGCTTTGTTTGGGTTTTTTCAATTCTCTTGACTAAATTATATTGCTAAGAATCAACTAAAAGCCAAGCCAAAGACAGGGAGAAATGGAGGAGTCTTGCTTCACGTTTTACAGAAAATACACAAATATCCCAGGCCCTGTCATGGGATGTGCTAATTATGAAAGGCCATCAACAACTCACCACCAAGAAGTCCATTATAGCAGCTCCTCAGCCTGTGAGCCTTCTGAAGGGACAGCCCTGACCAGGACAACTTTGGGTCAGAAGGTAGAGGGGCAGCAGGGAACATTTAAGCTATTTCCTCATCTGACTTTCATTTTATTCATTTACCACTCAAGCCAGGGAAGTACTCTGATCCACACACGTCCAGACATGGATCTGAAGCCAGCATGTCAGGCCAGGCAGTGGCACCACCAGGTCCTGTGCTAAGAGTGTAACAAGGGCACTGTGGTGCCAACCCCTATCTCACAGCCTTTGGGCTGTAGGGTTGCAGCAAATGGGGGCCACACATCCCAGCTGCTCTTGTGGGCTGGCACATCACCACGCTTGCAGGTATGGCTGTCACACCCACACCAGCCTGCACCAACCACAGCTCTCTCCTGGCTCAAAAGGGAAAGGGCAAGGAGTAACACAGACACTCGGCACACACCCACCACCAGTGTGTGCACAGGGGTGCTGGGAGACAGCCTTATTTAGAGCTCCATAAAGTGCACTCCATCGTAATTCCCTCCTTCTCTTCTAGTCCTGGATGCAGCCTTAAAAATCCACAGCTCCAGACAGTTAGCCCACACACTGCTATTCCAGCTCAGCAGGGAAGAGGATGAACTCAATTTTGCCAGTCAAACTGGAAGGAATAAAAAAAAATTTAGTAGTAGTATTTTGTTAAAATCAAAGAAACATGACCCCATCATATCAAAGACAAACCAGAAGAAATTATATGGAGTCCTTTCTATTGCTTCCATGGCCAAGAGTTGCAACCAAAGCTTGAGCAGCTCAGGGGCAGGAGAAGAGCCATCACAGTCTGCCAGTGTCCTGCAACATGGCACTGTCCTCCTGTACCAAAGTGCTTCTAAACCCTGACAGCAGCTCATCTTGGAGAAGGTGTTTGGACATGCTGCTCATGGCTCCCCAGCCCTGTTTGCTGAGCTGGCTCTGCAGAGACCAACATCTGGGACAACAACCACACACACGCCTCTTGCACTACAAACCAATAGGCACAGGAACACCCAGCACATCCAGCACCCAAGTAAAAGGGGCTGCCAGCCCCTCACCCAAGCCCCTGCCACACACAGTGGGCAGGTTTGCTCCCTGCTTGACAAGAACCTTCTTTCCACCAGCCAATGTTGGAGCTTCCCAGAGAGACCAAAGAGAAAGTCAGGCGTAGCTCAAATAAGCACCTGGATCTACAAACAACAGATTAAATTCTCAAGCTACAAAACTATGTTTTAGCAAAAGTGCAATTGAACTCCATGTACTTGTTACATTTCTAAATATACTCTGGTTGTCAAGACAACAAAGAGACTGATGGATCTCTAAAGTGTACTGTATCCATTTAATTGTCAGCATTTCAAACTGACTCAAGGAGGGGAAAAAACTGCTGCGTGATAAGTCTAATTGTCATGGTTACCACTGGCTAACCCCATAATAAAAATATATATATTCTGGCTAAATGTGCCAAGCCATGTGAGGAGCAGATGGGAGACATTCTCATTACTGCAACAGCCTCCACTGGAAAACTAAACTTGAGGAAAGATGCGAGAGACTTTACAGAGATCTCAGACACAACAGACACCGTGGGCTGCATCTTCCCAGTCGTTTGGCAGCAGTTCCTCGGGCTTTTCCGCTGTGCTTATCCGCCCCAAGCGTGTTGGGACAACCCATAGGGCTGGGGCTGCCTCACTTGTGAACATTCAGGTTTGAGGATCTAATCCCTCACCAAAAAAGCCTGATATGCGAGTTGTTACTCCTTAAAAGCCTCTGACAACATCTGATGTGCAATCACCGGGGCTTTGCACTCCCACCCTCACCCCGTGTACTCCCCTCTCCTGATAGCAATACCCACACCCTCAGGAATGGCTGTGCCAGGAGGCTGCTTCAGCCTGGATCTTCTGCTCCCACACTGTGAACAGCTAAACCAAGGACTATGTCCAGGCTTGGGGATGAGAAAACAAG